AAGGAAGATGGGGCAATCTACTTCCGTAGTGATACTGCCTCGGAAACCCAAGGAGGGGTTGCTATGAGTTGGGGCCGACTCGATGGCACATAACAACAACAACATATGTATTTTTAAAAAAATTATGAAGCTTTGTTAAATATGTAAGCTAAACAAAGAACAAAGGGATCAATGACACCATGTTAGGACACACTGTTTCAGGAAATAACCTAATAAATTGAGTTGTAATAGTGAGTAAATTATAGGTTAGGGTATGTTTGCTCTCCTTTTTTATAAAACAAACTTACCTTAGGAAAACAGATTAAGGTCAACAAGATGATAAAAGGACAAACTCAAATCCTAAACAGTTATAAATGTTACATTTTTTCCCCCAAGATGCAGATACAAAGGACAGGATGCAGTGCAAAGGACAGGAAACACGGAAGATAAGAACAAGTCACCTTCCATTTAACATTCCTAGTTGAAATTATTTATTTATTTTTTAAACTTCATTGTATTTTAAACTGTGTTTTCTTTTCAAGGATTAAAGAAGTTGAGAGTGGGCTATTTGTTCAACATAGATTTCTTTTTACAGCAATAAAATTGATTCTAACAGATATACGAAAAATCTCATACATGAAATTAATTTAATGATTTATTGTAGAGATAAAATATTCCCCTAGTAATAATTTATATGAGGCACATCACACACACGCACTGCCGTGGAGTCGGACCCGACTCATAGCGATCCCTCCTTGGGTTTCTGAGGAGATATCACTACAGAAGTAGATTGCCCAACCTTCCTTCCAAGGAGTGGTTGGTGGTTTTGAATCACCAGCCTTCTTTTATAGTTGGACTTTCCCAATTTCATCTACCTCCAATAGACACAATAAAGTGCCAACATACAGCCAACTCAGAAGTAGAAACATAAATCGTATTTATCAGGAAAAAAAATTCATAGCTGTCATTAATGCATTGTTTTCAACAGCATGATGAGAGCATTGTAAAATACGATTGCCAAGGGCTCTTCTCATAAAATTTGAGCATCTGAGTGTGTGAAAATAGCCCAATGCTACAGAATATTTTCAGAAGACCAAGAAACTACCTTTCAAATGTTTTATTTCTGTCATTTTTATACAATAAAAGCAACTTTTTAAAATAGTCACTTTAATAAAAAGCATTACTTATTTCAATTTAGTGTTTTCCACAAAAGGATTTAAAATGAGCTTTGCATATCAATGTTCCTTCGAATGAAGTTAAACAAAGGTTTATGTTTTTCCTTTCAACCATCATCCATATATATCAAATAACACTGTTTACTGTGAAATATATATTATATGTCTTTGAAATTGAAGGTTTGGCTTATTATAGTAAGTAATTCATATGCTTGTCCCCATTGCATACATTTCAAAGACTTTAATCATGAAATTTCTACTTATTTTTTCTTTTCTCTCATGGATGCATCTGACTGTTCTATTTAGACTCTTCTAGAAGTTTTAAAGGAGTTCTGGTAGCATAGTGCCTAAGGCACTTGACTGCTAACCAGATGGCTGGCGGCTCAAACCCACCAGCCACTCCTCGGAAGGAAGGTTGGGCAATCCTACTTCTGTAGTGATACTGCCTCGGAAACCCAAGGAGGGGTCGCT